CTCCCGCTGCCCGGGAAGCTGGTGTTGGTGTTGGGGGACCTTCACATCCCGCACCGGTGCAGGGGGCTGCCCGGGGAGTTCAGGAAGCTGCTGGTTCCGGGGAAGATTCAGCACATCCTGTGTACCGGGAACCTCTGCTCCAAGGAGGGCTATGACTACCTCAGGACTCTGGCTGGGGACATCCACGTTGTTGGGGGGGACGCTGAGGTAATGTTCTCGCTGCTGTTAGTTCCTCAGCCTGCCTTCCCACACGCTGTGGTTGTCTCAGTGAAACCTGGGGAGTCCTTCAGCATTAGCAGCTCCACTGGGATAGGGAGTAGGAATGTCTAAGAGTGAAGAAACGGAATTATTTTCTAGACCCTTCTTGTGCTTGCCCCAGAGGGGACTGTGAGGGTGTAACACATGCACTCGATCCATGGGACCTCTGGCACAAATCTGTCATTGCTGTGAGGCTGCTGGAGTTCCCCAGCTGGCTGTGTAGCTGCAAGAACTGGGGGCTTGTGTGCATGTGTGTTTACTGTTCAGTAGGCTTAAGGCTCCTGATCTCTCTGCAGATTCCCAGCTCTTTGCTCTGCAGTTGCTTTTGCTGAGGTGTGGTACAAGCATCCAGTGGGTTTGCACGTTGAAGGAGACCTTGTGCACTCAAGTAGTGAAAAGAGGATTTGTGTGTTGGAATGTAGGAACCTGAATTGCATAGGTGAGCAGTCTTTGGCTGATTTACAGGCTGTGTTTTTTCTCCTTCTTAGAGCCTGAACTACCCTGAAGAGAAGGTTGTAACTGTTGGGCAGTTCAGGATTGGGCTGATTCACGGCCATCAGGTTATTCCCTGGGGTGATGTGGCCAGCCTGGCACTGCTGCAGAGGCAGCTCGATGTGGACATTCTCATCTCGGGACACACACACAGATTTGAAGCATTTGAACATGAAAAAAAATTCTACATTAACCCAGGATCAGCTACAGGAGCCTACAGTGCTTTGGAAACGTGAGTGAGTAGGGCCCTGAGCTCCTCAGTGCAGCAGAGCTTGTAGGTGCTACCTGAAATGTGTGTGCTCCCCTGTGAGTATCTGAGCACCGTGCTGCAGAGGCTCCTGGGGAGGTGTGAGGAGCAGGATGCCAGCTCTCTCCATTCCCAGGGAGTGCAGTGGGGCTCCCCTGTTACCAGGGCTTTACTTAGACCATGTGTTGGGTGTGACAGCCCGGCACTGGTGTGTCTGGGGCTGCTGCCTGGGCCCAGGGAGGGGTGAGTTGCAGCAGCTTCTTGAAGTCATTTTGCTTTCTGATGTTTTCCCAGAACCTGCGTGCTAATATTTGGTAGGAAATCAGACTTCTGGAGGCACTGCCAGCTGTAATGTCTGAGCCTGACATGACTTAGGCTGTTCAGTAGCCTTGAGGGCTGTTCTAGGCTGAGTGCAACTCAATAGACTTCTGTCAGTGCCTGCAAACTGCAGTGTCTCCCAGATCCCACCAGCCCTTGGGAACCAGGTGTATTAGAATACAGAAGCATAAGGTATGTTAATAGAAAGAAGCATCAGCTAATTGAGAAGATCAACAGTGTGTTTTGGGTTTTTTTCCCCCAGGAACGTCATCCCTTCATTTGTCCTGATGGATATCCAGGCTTCCACAGTTGTGACTTATGTATATCAACTAATTGAGGATGAGGTGAAAGTAGAAAGAATTGAGTTCAAGAAGTACTGAATCGCCTTCAAACCTGCTCCTTGGCTTCTTGCCGCCTTTCATTTCCCTTCCAGTTGTCTAGGTGGTGGCAAGCCACCGGGGGGTGCTGCTGCTGCGGCGTGTTGGACTGCAAGGCAGCCACAAAGATTTATTGCTCGTGAGCTTGTTAAAAAAAAAAGAGAAAAAAAAAGTTATTCTTGGTTCCCAACCAGATGTTGAAGCAGAAGAACCTGCTGATTAAGAGAAAGAGGCCAGTGGAAAATGCCCTGTGTCTAGGGAGAAGCTGCTGTGTTCCTGACCTAAGGGAGGCACGGAGGGTGGTGGTGGGTTAAACTTTTTCTGTAAAATGAACACAGAACAATAAATCTCTGTCTCTGTGTGTCCCTGTCTCTGTGCGTCCTGGTCCTACATTACACTTCTAAAAGGTGGGGTGAGGGGGGCTGGATCTTGGTGTAGGGGGGTGCTGAGGGCTGAAAGGAAGCTGCTGTTTGCTTCTTGAGACACAGCACAGATACCTTTCAGGATCCATCAGAGATGCCCGAGGACTTTAAATGCTTCAGCAGCCCTGTCCCACCTCCTGCCTGGGAGCAGAGTGGAAAGGCAGAGGCAGGTCAGGAAATGGTGGTGAGGAGAGCTGTGCACGGGTGGGTGCTGCGGTGGAACTGGGTGTCTGTCCTCATGCTGCAGAGCCAGCAAGAGTTGGCAGAGGCCAAAGCGTTTCTCTTCATCCTGCCATGCTGCTGACAAGGGGGTGGCTGTGCTACTGGAGCGAGCGTGGCCCAGGGGGTCCTGGAGCAGCAGCCTGCAGTGGGGTGCAGGCAGTCAGGGGCTGCTGGGCTGGCCATGGATGCAGAGCCCCTCAGAGAAGTGCCCAGCACAGGAGGGGAGTGTGGCTGGAGGAGCTGTGCTGACACAGAGGGTGCTCAGTGGGTGGGTGATGCCAGGGCCACAGGTGAGCTCAGGCAACTGCAGAGGCTGCCTTGGCACACCAGGGTAGAACAGTGTGTGTTCCAGCCCTTGGCTCATGTCTGGGCTAAGGTCCTATTTGCCAAAACCAGAGATGAGGAGCTTTTCCCCAGATACCTTGATCCAGCTGGTCACAGCCTTCTGACTCCTGAGAGAAACCTGTTTATGATGTCCTGGTGAAGCCCAACCTAAATTTCCCAGCTGCGTGGCCCAGGGAGGAGGCAGCCCAGAGAAATCTTGGTGCCGTTGGTGGCCACGGTCATGCCTGCAGTGGGAGCACTGGGGGCTGCCAGTGA